CCTTAGGGAAAAGTCTCCCCCCAGCTATGGGTTAATTAGTAAGACTTGTATCATTAAACCATTATTATCTCAAAAAAGGATTCTTGTGATCTAAAAATATTTTTTCTGGCTTTAAATAACCTGCAAAGCATTAATTTTCGAATACCATGACTCAGATCAAAAAACTTCTGGTAATCGAAATGGAAAATTATACCGCATATGTGCTGATTCCCTAAGTTTACGAATTTTCCAATGGTGTTCCTTGTCTATGATCTCAACTTGATCCCACAGAGGCTGGTGATATCCCTTCTCTCTCCATATATGGTCAGCCACGCCTGATTTTTCTACTTCCCTTCGTCCTACAGCTTCCTGGTATTCTAGAAGCCTTACCTTGAGGGGGCGGCCTATCTCTTCTTTATATTTCTTTCCGCAACTGCAATATGAGCACTGGTAAAAATGGTTACTGAAGGCATTAGTTTTATAAAACCCAGAAATTCATACAGAGATATCCTCAAGGACACATGGCACAGTGGATAAAGGCATTGGTTAGATCCTGTCACAGAACCCAAAGTTATGTGAGTTCAATACCCGGTTAAGGCAGTGGAGAACTTTCAGAGGGAAACAGAAGATAACTGATAACTGACAACCATTAAACATGGCACGTGAAACTAGAACAGTCTACCCCAGTGAGCGAAATAAAGTGTTCCGTTCGGCATTCCAACCGAACTGATGTAGGCCGGAGCGTACAACGGCCGAAACGTTGTAATAAATATGGCGACAAAGAAGAGGACAATAGTCTGAATAATGTAAATAATGTACATGTTTCATTAAAAACGACAGACAAGATACTACGGTTAAGCATTTTATTTAATTTTTCTTGTGTTCTAACAAGAGCTTTCTTTTCTGGACAAAGAGTGTGTAAGAACTGTCCAAATATTTTATATTTCCGAGCGCATTCTAAAATTAGTATCGAGGATTGTCAAGAACTGATTCGTTCTTGTAGTCGAAGATGTGCAGCTGTCATTGAGAGCAAGGGCTAATTTACTAAATATTGATTGTACATGTATTTTTATTGTTTTGTTTTTTTTTTTTTTTGCCGTTTACATTGTTTTTCTCAATTTTGTCCCTTACTTTTGGACGATCCTATTTTGAAAATAAATAAATAATTGTTATAATTCTTTTTCTATCCTTTGCAAATGATTCAAATTTTAGTATGTTATTATGGATGATAACGACTACCAGTTGTCAAAATTTCAGCTTTTCACAGTTGTTATTTCTAACAAATATCAGGTTTTAAAATTTTGTCTTTTAGTTTTGGACGCTACTCTCTCTCTCTCTCTCTATATATATATATATATATATATATATATATATATATGTGTGTGTGTGTGTGTGTGTGTATGTATGTTTCATTAAAAACGACAGACAAGGTACTACGGTTAAGTTTTTATTTAATTTTTCTTGTGTTCGAACAAGAGCTTTCTTTTCTGTACAAAGGGTGTGAAAGAACTGTCCAAATAGCTTATATTTCCGAGGGCTTTCGGCTATACCTTTAGCCATTATCAAGGATGACTCGATTTTCAGCTTAATTGAGTGTGTGCGTTCTGTGTATGTCTTAGTTTGTAGTAGGGATGTTTTTAATTCCCGAATACGGTTAGCACATTGTGGCTTTGTTCGTAATTAATAATGTTAAGAGTTGGCTTTTCCTTTTTTATTATTAAAGCTTCCATTATTTTTAGTCTTTTTTTTTTTTGCAGGTTGATGCAGTTAATATATGTGTTTTCTACTAGTATGTTCCTAATGGAGTCGGGTAAATTTGAGTGTGTGTTTAAATGGGTTCTAATGGAGCTGTGATCAGATAGGTGTAACGTAAGACGTCTGGATAAGCATGTGGTTGTGTAACCGATGTAATTGTTTATGAGTCCGGTTTGATCAGGAACACAGTTCCTTAAAGGGGCATTTGAACTCATAGATAATGTTCGTTCTTTGTAATTTTGACTTAGCTGGTGTGTTTTTATTTTTAAGGATAAGGTTGGCTGTCTTAAATTTGTTTTAATAGATAATTAATTTGAGTTTTTTATTCGGGTCAATTGGAGTAGTATATTTCTTTATAATATGCCTTAGAGAAGATTCGTCTAGTTTGTAATTAATATGCATTTGGTTTTTGTAATAAATGTGTATGTGATTTTTGACTGTGTTCTCTATCTTTATTACTTGCTTTGGGGAGAAATAGTCTAATTTGGTGGTCTATAAAGTGGTTAGGGAAGCCGCGGTTGATTAGTGTTTGTTTAAATAATTAAGTTCTTTGAGGAAGAGTAGTC